GTGAATAGAAAGTCATTAGTAATTATAATTATAAAGAAGACAAAAGAAAAGAATAGTTAGAGCCATAACCAGGCCAGAGAGTGTCATAGGGTGCTTCTCATTTCTTATTTGTGCATCCTCGTTTCCTTTCCTCGCTTCCTTTCCTCGCGTCTCAGCTCCACCCCCTGTAGGACGCGAGGGAAGGCTGCAAGGAAAAAAAATGAGGACGGAGGAATTGAATGAAAGCTTTTTTATACATTGGAATACTTGATCACTCGAGCGTCACTTCACTGCGTCATCAGCAGTGCTCAAAGGATCTGCCCTTATGTTGTTAAAGTTAGTTTATTTAAGAAATTCATAATAAATAATAATAAAGCAAGGTACCTTGTTGAAATATGTAAGTTGTGTGGTTTATGTAAACTACAAAAGTAAAGTATAAATTCAAATGATTGTGACAGATGTGAAGGGGGAGGAGAATTGATACGTGCGTCACGTTTAGTCGATAAAACTCTTCCGCAAAGGGTACACCTGTGTATCCTCGCTCATGACTCCTCTGGAAGCCTCCTCGCTCCTCGATCCTCGCCTCCTCGCGGTGCAATTAGAGAATTGAGATGTCCTTCAAGATGGCTGAGCTCGATTGGTTTCCGGGTCATAGGATGGAGGACGGAGGAGCGAGGAGACGAGGAGGGATATTGAGAAGCACCCATTGTCTTCGTCTGCACCAGTCTGTCCTTGTCTCTTCACTACACTTCCCAGAATCCTCCTTGTCTCCACACCTGAACTCACTCCCTCACTTACCAGCCTGTTCCTCGTTATCATCATCTTTGTCACCTGTCTTCACATCATTATGGTTCATTTGTCTCTGTATTTAGTTAGCCTCGGTTCATTCGGTCTTTGTCGATCGTTGTTGTTATCAATGTGAATGTTAGCACATGTTGAGTGTATGCTGTGTTTCTCGTGGATCTTCAACCCATCTACCTGCCTGTACCATTTTGTTTAATTTTTATTAAGTAAACGTTTGTATTGGACTTCTGCCTATTGATTCATCCTTCAACCAGCACCTCAACCTGACAGAACGATCAACCAAAATAAGATGAGCTGGGGACTCGCTGCACAGATCGCGGCTTTGGCTTTGAATAGCCGCGACCTTTTCAAATTCACTTGGGGTTTTATTCCTCTGGCTGCCTCCAGCCCTCTAAACGACGAGGCCATTTTGGCATGTTATCGGCTGATGTCTGGAGAGCTTCCTCCCATGGCATGCCATGACCACCTGCCCAGACCCTTATCCGCTCGCCCAGCCGGAGACCGTCCAGCCGGACACCGTCCAGCCAGAGACCGTCCAGCCAGAGACCGTCCAGCCAGAGACCGTCCAGCCAGAGACCGTCCAGCCAGAGACCGTCCAGCCAGAGACCGTCCAGCCAGACCGTCCAGCCAGAGACCGTCCAGCCAGAGACCGTCCAGCCAGAGCCCGCTGATCCTGCGCCAGAGCCCGCTGATCCCGCTGATCCTGCGCCAGAGCCCGCTGATCCTGCGCCAGAGCCCGCTGATCCTGCGCCAGAGCCCGCTGATCCTGCGCCAGAGCCCGCTGATCCTGCGCCAGAGCCCGCTGATCCTGCGCCAGAGCCCGCTGATCCTGCGCCAGAGCCCGCTGATCCTGCGCCAGAGCCCGCTGATCCTGCGCCAGAGCCCGCTGATCCTGCGCCAAAGCCCTCTTCACAGCTGGTCCTGCCCAGCTCAAAGCCCTCTTCACAGCTGATCCTGCGCCAGAGCCCTCTTCACAGCTGGTCCTGCCCAGCTCAAAGCCCTCTTCACAGCTGGTCCTGCCCAGCTCAAAGCCCTCTTCACAGCTGGTCCTGCCCAGCTCAAAGCCCTTTTCGCCGCTGGTTCCGTCCAGCTCAGAGCTTCCTTCGCCGCTGGTCCCGTCCAGCCCAGAGCTTCCTTCACCGCTGGTCCCGTCCAGCACAGAGACTGTTCACGTCAAACCTGCCGAGCAAGAGGCTGTTCCCGTTCCTGAACCGGTGTCAGTTCTCCCCAAGAAAATTTTTTGGGGGGGGCTATCCGTCACCGCCGTGGCCGCCCGAAGGGTCTTCACCACCGTGGCCGCCCGAAGGGTCTTCACCGCCGTGGTCGCCCGAAGGGTCCTCTCCGCCGTGGCCGCCTGAAGGTCCTACTGCTCCGCCGTGGTTACGCCCACAGCCTGCTCCGCCCTGGACGCCCGAGGGTTCATCTGCTCCGCCGTGGCCACGCCCACGTCCTGCTCCGCCCTGGCCGCCTGCTCGTCCTGCTCCGCCCAGGCCGCCTGCAAGTCCTGCTCCGCCCTGGTCGCCCTCACGTCCTGCTCCGCCATGGCCGCCTGGACCATCCTGGAGTCCGACCTGCTGCACCCGGTCCGCCTTCCCGTCACGGACTCCAGGATGCCCACCCTCCCACCCCTGTTCTACGGCGTGAGGACACGCCTACCGGGAGGGGGGTGTAATGTCACCGTCTTCGTCTGCACCAGTCTGTCCTTGTCTCTTCACTACACTTCCCAGAATCCTCCTTGTCTCCACACCTAAAACTCACTCCCTCACTTACCAGCCTGTTCCTCGTTATCATCATCTGTGTCACCTGTCTTCACATCATTATGGTTCATTTGTCTCTGTATTTAGTTAGCCTCGGTTCATTCAGTCTTTGTCGATCGTTGTTGTTATCAATGTGAATGTTAGCACATGTTGAGTGTATGCTGTGTTTCTCGTGGATCTTCAACCCGTCTACCTGCCTGTACCATTTTGTTTCATTTTTATTAAGTAAACGTTTGTATTGGACTTCTGCCTATTGATTCATCCTTCAACCAGCACCTCAGCCTGACAGAGAGGTGTGAATGTGTGCAGGGAAGACTGAATCTGAATAGGGCAATTTACACCACAAAACAATAGAGACAATACACTGAATGGATGCTTAGAATTTGACAATAAGCATAGGTTAGCATTTTAGAATCTTCTCAAAATAAAATCACATGACATGGTCTTAAAAACATTTAATAAAATTCAGTTTTAGACTTATCTCTATAGATTTTAAATATAACATAGTCAGGCATGTGGCTTTAGCTGCAGTGCATTTCTCGATTAAAACAATGCCAACTTCAATTTTATTTTCATAAAGATATTTCATAAATATACATTTCTAATAACTTTACAAAACTTTGAATCTGTTTATAACTTCTGTTTTATTATGACAATAATTATTTCAGACTTTTCCATAAACTGCTATGTGTCAGCTCAGACTGATCTCATGAAATGGCGTATGTATGACACGCCAATTCGTATTTCCATTTTTGGCGTGCTATCAACACGCATAATCGCTTTTCAGCGTGTTTATCAACGCCTTTGACTTAACGTTATATTACTGTATTATGTACATATAAATATATGACCTACCCCAACCCCGTCCCTAAACCTACCCGTCACTGGGGTTAATACCATTTATGAGTCTTCTCCTATCATCCTAGGAAAAGAAATATCGCTCCACAGATGTAGAATATAGATTTTGCTTCGTTTCGCTCGGACATTTAACGGCGTACACATACACGCGGAATCACTCGGACGTTTAATGGCGTAGACATACACGCAAAAGATTTCGGCGTGGACATAGACGCGGATAGCTCAAAATGCGTATAGATAACACGCCACTTGAATTGAAAGTGGCGTGTATGTTTACGCAAAGTCATGATGTCATGTTGCAAATGAGACCATACGTATGCTTTTAGTGCAAAGGGTTCATGAACATTATCTGTTTTAGTTTGGCTATGCCATTTCTTGAGATTTTTTCAAAAGCGGGGGTGAATGCTAGCGGGTTAAACTCTTGTGTCTCTATGCTACCATTGGAGCTACATCTGCAGGGGTGGAAAGGAGTTGTTCATGCCTAAACGGATACAAAAAACTACCTAAGCAGTGCAATGGGTAAAGAACATCTTTCTGAATTGGCACTGTTCTCCATTCTCCATTGAAAAAGCCCTTGTAAAATAATCGGAAGGAAGAGGCTCATGGTGGTATGAGCAGGTATCAGAGAAGTTTAATTCCATGTGGGAAAGAAGAGTGGACGATGAAGTCTGAAATAGTGTACTTTTTTTTCTTTCTTTTTTTTTTTACAGATATAGGATTTTTATTATTGATATGTTCAATTTATTACTCATAATTTACTAATATTACTTAGTCTTTTGCTCTGTTGATCTGTTCCATTTTACAGAGAGGAAATATGTTGGGAGCAGACAGAAATGGCAGTGAAGTGAGTTCAGGGTTTCAGAAATCAGAATTTAAAAATGTTCTAGTTCTGTGGAAGGTAGAAATAGTAAGATTACTGGTGAATTTGAAATGGTTAGTCATTTTACATTTAAAGACATTCCATTGAAAATATTTCTTGTTGCAGAGGTTCCATATGTCTGGTCATTGATACCTGTTGTCAGGCTCCTCCAGCTTGCAGCTTTGTTCAGATGTTCATAAACCTTTGCTTGTAGTCAGTCAAGAAAGAGATGGCAGCAGAGCTAAAGTAAGTCACATTGCTTGAGATCATATTTGATTTGATGGCTTAAATTGTGTGAAGGTTTCACTGCTTAATAGTGATCTTCAGGAGAATACCTCAATCATTTAGAGCAGGGGTCTCAAATTCAAACTCAGTAAGGGCCATCCTGAGGGTTGTGAATAAAATCAGGGGCCGGATATATATTTAGAGGATTTTTCATTTATTGAAATATAAGTGTATTAGTAGGCTAACTGTATAAAAAAAACACCTCAATTCATTAAACTACATTATCATAACAAGGTTTTATTTTTTTAATTTTGAGTAATAACACATTTTTACATATTTCACAAAACATGTGTCAGGAGCAAAGTCTCTGACCAGCATAACTGCATAACAGTAATTTAAAACAGTAGCATAAAACAGTACTTTAAAAGAAACAGTACTTTAAAAAATATATATTTCATAAAACTGTTTGATAAAGCAAAATATTCAACAAATGGTAGATAATTATGGATAAATGTATTGATAACAAATGACATCTGAATTTTATTATTTGGCTTATTTTAGGAGCTCTTTAAAAAGACAATTTGAACTTGAAGTGCAAACCTAAGCAAATTAGGCTCTTCTTTTTCTTTCTTTGTTTTTTAACTCTTACCAGACACTCTGCATCTTTTCTTAGAAACGATCTCGTCTATTCTAGGGTTAATGTCCTTTGCCATGGCCACTTTCATTACCGAGACCAGATGCTGGTCCGTGAGGCGCGATCTGTGAGATGTCTTGGTCAACTTCATTATGGAGAACATCTGCTCGCATGAGTATGTGCTTCCGAACATAGACATAATGCGTGCAGCGTGAAGGCGAAGCTGTGGCATTGATTCAGGGAGTAGAGGTGCAAACTCAGCTGCCCCAACTGACTCGTATCGGCTCTTTAGATGAGTGTTACATTGCAATTCGATGAGTTCCATCTGTAAGTGCTCAGGCGCAGTGTCAACGTCAACTGCAAATGGATTCGCGAACAGGTCAAGGTTGAATTTCTGTCTTTCAAAATCAGTAAATCTCCGGCAGAATTCCACTCTCAGTGTGTTCAATTTGTCGACATACAATTCAGCCGGGAACGGGATGGTTACTGTGTCCCTGACTGACTGACAAATAGGAAAGTGAGACGGGTGGCCTTGGCGCATCTGGCCCTCCCACAGACGCAGTTTCATTTGAAACGCCTTTACGGAGTCTCGCATTTTAGTGATCAGCTGCTTTTGACCCTGGAGTTTTACATTAAGAGTGTTGAGGTGCTCTGTTATGTCACACAAAAATGACAAGTCACTCAGCCATTTTTCATCCTCAAGCTCAGGAATGACCTTTTGTTTGCTTTCCATGAAACTAGCGATCTCAATGCGGGTATCATAAAATCTTCGCAACACTTTACCCCGACTAAGCCAGCGGACCTCTGTGTAGTATGGCACATCCTCGTGCACAGAGCTTTCCGCTTCTAAAAGAGCTCTGAATTGCCTGTGATTCAATCCCCGTGAACGAATAAAATTTACTGTTTTGTTTACGACTGTCATTACATGTCCCATGCCCAACACCTTTCCACAGAGGGCCTCCTGGTGAATGATGCAGTGGTAGGCTGTGAGGTTTTCTCCCGTGTGCCTCACCTTTTCTCGTACCAAACCGACCAAACCACGGACCTCCCCGGACATCGCAGGCGCACCATCAGTTGTCAGCACAACAAGTTTATTCCACTGCAATTCCGTTTCGTTGACGCACTGCTCCACTTGTGAAAAGTGGTCCTGTCCAGATGTTGTACCGTGAATTGCTCTTAAATCCAAAAGTTCATCAGTAACGGAAAACCTATCATCTACCCCTCGAATGAATATAGCGAGCTGGGCAGTGTCCGTTCTGTCTGCACTCTCATCTATAGCCAACGAATATGCAACAAAGTCCTTAGCTTTTGCTTTTAGCTGGATCTTTAAGTCGGAGCCCAGCTCATCCACGCGACTAGCCATGGTGTTTCGGGAAAGGCTGATGTTGGCAAAGGCTTGCTTTTTGTCCGGGCACACAACACCACATACCTTTTCAATACAGTTTTTAATAAATTCTCCCTCTGTGAACGGCCTGCATGCTCTTGCTATCTCCTCTGCAATTATGAAGCTTGCCTTTACAGCTCCCTCACCTTGACTGTTCATGTGAGTAAACATGTTTTGCTGTAGCTGAAGTTTGTGTTTTAGTTCTTTGACTTTAAGCAGTCGCAGTTCCATGTCCATGTTTCCATATTGAACATGTTTCGTTTCGAAATGCCTTCTTAAATTATATTCTTTAAAAACCGCGAGTGACTCTTGACATATGAGACACATTGGCTTTTCTTTGTATTCACAGAATAAATATTCGGTCTCCCATCTTGGTTGGAATTGTCTATATTCGCAGTCCACTTTTCTTTTTTTAGCCATTGTGCTAGCCTCTTTAAAGTCAGATAGCATTTACGTTGTTTACAGTTACTACCATGGTTACTACTACGGGGGCTGTAAAATGCTTGAATCTGATTGGTTGACGAACGTGTGAATGAAACGCACGGACAGTTATTTTACAGCCCAAAACAGCAAAATAACCAAAACTCACAGCAATACGTGACCAAGCAAATACATATAGTAAATAGGATAAAAAAAGACATATTATTTAAATGTTTTTGACACAAATTACGTTTTATTATGCATAGACATGCTCTCTCTCCCAGCCAAACGAACACACATACGGGCACACACTCGCACATAAACGTGTTGTCAGCGCTGCTCTGACGATTTTATCAGTAAAATAGTTTACAACTATTAAAAAAACTACAAGAAGTTTGCAACTTAAAAGCTACAAGACATTTATCCTGGACTCTGTAGGAACGGATAACTAGAGAACCGCTGCTGCCGAACACAGTTGAAAGACACTTATCGTAGCTACACCTCTCTCTCTCTCTCGCGCGCGCGCGCTCTCGCTCTCTCTCTCTCTCTCTCTCTCTCTCTCTCTCTCTCTCTCTCTCTCTCTCTCTCTCTCTCTCTCTCTCTCTCTCTCTCTCTCTCTCTTAATAACAGCATTAATCTGCTAATAATTCAACGGCCCGTCATCAATTATTCCTTACTTATTGGCGTAGTCTCTGATAAAATTAGCGAGTTGAGTGAAACGCGACAGCACCACTTGCAGGCGCGTTTCCATTTTTGCGCCAAACTTTTGCGATTTTTTCTAAATGTCGATAAAAAAAACTATTGCGAAATGACGGCGTTTCCATTAACCGATGTTATGCGACTAAAATGTATTTTTTTTCCTCTCGCGATAAGTCATTCCAAAAATCATGGTAACGGATGTTGGTAGGTTTATACATAGACATAATAAATACATAGACGCCCTATTGGCCGCTTTGGAACGTTGCTGCGATACGTCAACGGGTCCGCCATTTTGCTGAGGGCAAGACTGCACTGTAATTAAATGTAAGTAAACGGGGGAGCTGCGTTTTTTCTGGATAAAAACAAACTGTTTTTACATTTATCAACCAATTTCAGTGGTTTGTATGTGGTGTACAAAAAGTTCCATCTCTAGTTATTTAAAATCTCGGTAGTTAGACTTGTAAAATATTTTTTTAAATAAAGAATTGTCAAAGCTCAGGCTTGTCATGTATCTGGCTTTTTATTCTTGGATAAGAATGGTGAAGACCCCCATACTGAGATATAATTTAAGTTTTCTTATTGTGGAAAAAGCATTTTCTGTGATTGACCAGATTTTAGCAATAACAAAGATAACTGATGGATCCTTTATAATAATACGTTATGGTACAACTACAGTGCAATGCAAATAGTATATATAACATAAAGTGAGAAGTAATAGTAAATAGTTTAGTCAATAAAATAAACAAATAGTATACAGCAAATAAAATAGTAATGATTAGTATAATTATATAATATCATAAGTACAATAATACAATCATAAAAATATTGATAATAGCATTTATTAATAATACTATAATAATAGCAATAGAATAAGAAATATCAATTACAGAATATAGACAATAAAAAAATAAGTTAAATAGTGACTTTAATATTTAACTCTTTTTGTTAAATTTCAGTTTTATTGATCAGTAATAGCCATTATAACAGAAGTAGCTTCAGTCAAACATACAGCAGGATACAATGTTAAAATAGCCTAAATATAAAGTTATGAAACTTCACTTTGCCCTCAGCCAAAACGATTTGCCAGGAAACCATTTATAGATTAATGAGACCAAAGATCGCCCGTTAGATATACACAAGACGAATTATATCTCATGTTTAACCACTAGACTACAGACATCCGAGTCAGCGGCAAAACTTCAGAAGCACTGGCCGAGGGACGGCTGTTCCAGGCGGGGTAGACGAGCGCTGAGCGCATCTTACAACTCCGAAAACGTCAGATCAAATTTTTAAATAGGCGCTATCTTTATAAACAAACCACATATTTGAGCTTTAAACAACTACATTGTCGACTGAAAAACTATTTGAACTACATTTCGTGACACAATAACAGTAGTATTTTTAAATTTATCCTCTGAACGTTACTACTAATTAAATCATGACCAAATACAACCAAAAACAAACGTTCAGTCTTGCTTGTGAAAGGTAATTCCTCGAAAGCTGTTTTCAATTGTGTGGCGATGTGTACAGCCCCAAACAGCGCACAAAACATGCATTTTTCTCAATTCCCGGTATGAGAGGTATGGGAAAGTTGCCATCCCCAACATGGCGGCGCCGTTGACGTACGCTCCAGCGGCCAATAGGGCGTCTATGTATTTATTATGTCTATGGGTTTATATATCACAGCCACCGCACTAGACATTATTGTTATTAATGTAAGGAGACGTGGTGTGTTATCCAAGTAGGCCTATTAATGGCAGACCCTTATAGTGCGAACGGCACATATAGCCTAAGAGTTCCTGGCTGTTTCTCCCTCATTTCTGCTCCGAGGTCTTGATTGTGGCATTTCTTTGAGGTTTAGAATCCAGTATTCCTGTAATTATTGTTTCTTTTATGAATTTAATAAAGACAAAACGAAAAATGAATGGTTGTATTTTTAAAACGCAAAGTTGAACACCAAAATTTTTATTTGAACTGTACCTACACACCAAATGCTGCGCAAAAAAATAAATATCGACGAATTTTTGTTTATGACTTTTTGCCCCTTTATTAAACATTTCAAATGTTGACAAATTAATATGAAAAAATGTAGATTTTACTGGTTTTCTAAGGCCAAATTAGAACCTGGAAACTATATTTTTCCCGCAGTGCTGAATGAGAAGAGCCATATAACCACAGGTCCACAGCCCACAGAAAGGTGATTTATAGGTGAGTTATAGGCTATAATAAATGTGTCTGAAAAAATAACAAGATATTTTAATTGTTTATTAATAAAAAATCAGTGTCGGCTAAAACATCTCCATCTCCGCTGTATACGGCGGATGCACCTTTGGAGAGAAATGCACCTTTCATACGGATTACATAATCAGAAGTTATTAGCTTTCGATTCGAATTTGTTCGTTTTAAAGTGGACATTTCAAGCTTTAGCTTAGGCTATATTTTGTTTCAGTTATAGCGCTTCAGTTCACGGTGTCACGTATCTGGTCCATTCACTTCCGGACATTCACCACCAGAGGTCTCCCACTCACAGCATGGACTCTTGCACTTCACTACAATCCCCATCATTCATTGCACTGACGATTCACACAGCTGATTCCACTAATCACGCTCACACTTGAGAACCATCACACACCCTTTATAACCCTTGGACTTCCTCTCTCTGTTGCCGGATATTGTTTCTTTGTACTGTATTGTCAGCGTTTAACACTCCCCAAGTGTTAGCTACTTACTGAGCCTTCCATTGAACTGTAGTCTTGCCTTGTCCTTCGTGTTTTGATTCCTGCCTGTGTCACTTGGATTTTCCCTCAGCCTAGCCCTTCGGATTCTGTTTGCACCTCGTCGACCCACGCTTGCCCTTAGGGTTTCTCTGTGCTATGCCTCTGCCATACCTGTCTGCTGTTCATTGACCTTGCCTGTACTAAGACTACGTTTTTGGAATAAAGCCTTGCGAATGGATCTGTACGTCTCTCCTCTGGTTCGTTCTGTAACAGAATATCCGGCCAAACAAGGATCCAGCGGCTTTTCGGAAGAACACTGGTCAGGTATGAACCTTGCAAGACTGTTACTAGCCCTAGAACAGGGTAAGCGACCGCTAGAGGTATATATTCATGAGTTTTTGGAGTTAGCATATTTTTCTGATCTGCCTGATTGCGTTCTCATTGACTTTTTTTGTGACGGCATAAATCAACCCTTAAGATCTCGATTAATCCATGAGGGTCCTCGTACATCGCTCAGTCATTTTTTAGATTATGCTCTACTATTAACAGGGTCGTTTTTCACTGTGGGGTTCGCAGAGGATTGCACCATTCCTTCCGTGCCTATAATGGCAGCCGCACGAGAGCCATGTTACGTCTCAGCAGATCTTCCAGAGCCCCACCAAGTCACAGTTGATCGTCACGAGCCAAGCCAAGTCACAGTTGATCGTCACGAGTCAAGCCGAGTCACAGTTGATCGTCACGAGTCAAGCCGAGTCACAGTTGATCGTCACGAGCCAAGCCAAGTCACAGTTGATCGTCACGAGTCAAGCCGAGTCACAGTTGATCGTCACGAGCCAAGCCAAGTCACAGTTGATCGTCACGAGTCAAGCCGAGTCACAGTTGATCGTCACGAGTCAAGCCGAGTCACAGTTGATCGTCACGAGTCAAGCCGAGTCACAGTTGATTTTCCAGAGTCTCGTCATGTCACCACTGACCAGCCAGAATCTTCTCACGTCCTGTCTGCCACACCCAGATATTCAAGGTCAGTGCTTCGATTTCCCAGTCTGGTTTCCAGTGTGAGGGATGCACCACTGGTTTCTGCACGCACAGCTGGTATCCCCAAACCCACTCACTTTGATCCCTCTGATCCTGCACTGATTACCCTGTCAGAAGCGCTTCCCATGATGGGGATCGCTCTATGTTGCGTTTGGGCTGCGTATACCACCTCAGAACTGCCCCAGGCTAAGGAACCCGCTGCAGTTAATCCAGAGGTGGCGGCACGAGCTGCAGAACCTCTTGAAGCGGCGGTGTTCGCTTCAGCCCCTTGTATGGTGGTTGCGCCCAGCAATGTCCTCTCAGCCTGTCATGTCAGGGTCAAAGGAACCATAGATGAGCACGGTACCTGTCTTGTTAATGAACTTTACCAGATTCTTGATGCTACCACTGTAGAACCTCCAGAGGTGGCGGCATCTGCTGCAGAACCTTTGGAGGTGTCAGAGGCGACTATTTATGAATTCTTGTCCAGCCCTGTTACCCATCCAGAACCTTCACCACTGGTCCTGTCCAGTCCAGGGTCTTCACAGCTTCACGTCAGCCACGTCCAGCCAGAGCTTCACGTCAGCCACGTCCAGCCAGAGAGTCACCACGACATGCCTGGGCTTCATGCCGAGCCTGCACTTCACGTCAGTCCAGCCGAGCCTGCACTTCACGTCAGGTCCGCACAACCAGAGACTGTCCTCGTCACGTCCGCACAACCAAAAACTGTCCGCGTCACGTCCGCACAGCCAGAGACTGTCCTCTTCACGTCCGCACAACCAAAAACTGTCCGCGTCACGTCCGCACAGCCAGAGACTGTCCACGTCACGTCCGCACAGCCAGAGACTGTCCGCGTCACGTCCGCACAGCCAGAGACGCTACGCGTCACGTCCGCAGAGCCGATGTCTGCTGTTCCCGAGCCGGTGTCTG